TTACTCGACTTTAACCCGACATAACCTGTCAAACCGTTAAATTTTAACTTATTTGAATACCCCTATTATGTTTTAGTTTTAATTCTTTAACTTTGTAGAGAATCATACGTCCAATAAAAAAAAGCAGTTGTTTCACGATTCTCATAAAGGCAGATAAGTAGAGAGATATACAAAATTTCTTTAATAAACATAATTCCTTCTTATACTTAATAAATAATATAATAATCAATACATGCAATAATCAAATATTAATAATTTTAATAAAATAATAATTAATGATTAGGTTAACATACATTCCGTTGCCAGTGAATTCAACTAGTTTCTGCGCCACATTCTTCCCTATTGTGTCCCTATTGTACTTTGAGATACATGCGCGTTTATTCTTTTGGCCTATATCATCTCAAATTGCAATCGATAGATAGCCGTCGTCAAGATGACGCCAAAACGCGCGCTTTCATCCCGCGTAACCATAGTTGGTAGCTGCCTTAGTAAAACAAAATGAAATAACTCGAGCAATATTAACGGTTTTCATGCCTTATCATTTAACGAATTAGTAAGAACCCAAGCACGCGTATAGCTCTCGTTCTCCGGAAAACTGGAGATCAAAACATATCTTTTTCAAATCGTTCACGAAACGTTCCTGAAGTTTCGTAAATAAACTTTTGGTGAAATAGAATCGAAATGGAAGCAGCTTACCTCAAGATGATTAAAAACTTGAAAGTCTGCGAGCAAAAGTGTTGTAATTTCGATTGATTAATGATTGAATCGAGTTTCGGATATATGTGATTGTCATTGAATATTTGATTTTGTTAGAATTGATTAAAGATGATTTTACAGAGACATAGACTAAAACTTTTAATAATAATAAGAAATATTAATTAATTTAACATCATCGCACAATAACTCTCTCTAATGAACTAAATTACATCTCTGATAATTATTAAAAATTAATTATGTATATCTTTTAAAGTTGTCAGTCAGAGTAAGAATATTAAGGCGATATTATAAAATAATGTAACATTAATGTAGTATTGTTGCATTTCTCTAAAATATGACGGATATGTGGATATAGATTAACGAGAAAGTAAATAAATTGTAATTATTAATATTATTTAAACGAGGTATTTACTTGGAAATAATACGGAAATTCATATTTGAGTTAGCAAACGTGGCCGATCCCACTTCAGCAGTTTAATTTAAGCGAATGTATGCAATTTATTAATCTATATATGGATATAGATATTATAGCATCTACATGTTTATATGAATGAATATTGTGTCACTAACAACGGTCGTGTCGCAAGCCTGGCCGCGTGACGGTTAATTTGTCTGATCGAATTATATTCAAGGAAAATATTTCTCCTTAAAAAACCACTTGTTAACGAAATTTTTTGTCTGTATAAATTAAAGATACCAAAATAAAATTTAAAATTTACGATTTGAAAATCATCATTACAGAAACATTATTATATGCTATGCACAAGCAGAATTTGACTTCTTATACTTTTATGAAAATAGATTTAACAATTGTAACAAATTTTTTAAATCAATACCTGATGTTAAGGATTAAAGTGCACCAAACATTTTTATTATCTTTATCAATAAAAATATAAAAAATTATAATAAGAAATTTTTAAACAACATTATTTTTTCAAACATTTGGAAGAATTAAAATAAAAGGTTGGGTGAAGTTCCGAAAACGGTCCACTTCCGATTTCGATGAAACTTTGTGAAAAGCTTTGTTTTGGATTAAAATGAGAGCTCTTAAAAGGAATTTTGGCGACTCCTAAAACCTCGGTTCGCGTGGAAAGTTGAAAATCCGAACCATATACTATACACCCACCCCCGCCTGCGAGGGAGGATAAAAACACAAAATTATTCAATAAAAACAGTATATATTCAATTTATAACATCCTGTAGAATTATGAAGATTTTCCTATATTTTTTATCATTTTATCTTAAAAAAATGGTTTTATCATGGTGATGCTGGAGCCGTCTGTATAACCGACAAAATTACCATTTTCTATGTGATCGACTATATCTGTACTTGTATAGACAAAGATATAGACAAGGATAGCACGCTACATTGCACGCACACATACGCACGATGCACATCGACATTATACTTTTATATTACGCTTCCAAATCTCGATTTGGAGGGTTTATCGATGTTTTTCTTGTTGTGCAATTCAGGGGAACTTGTTTTCGCGTTCGTACCAATGGTATTTCTCTTATATGAAATACATCTTGTGACGAGCTGACAGCTCGCCGCAACTCGAAACGCCATATTGGGATAAAAGTATTAGGATAAGGAAATCTGTACTTCCGTAATTTTTTCTCGTTTTCTATATAAAATCGGAGTTCCCCCGAATCATTAATGTATGTACTGCAATTCTGGAGAAGGATTTTTAATTATGTCAAATTAATACAACGCTACGTGACGACAAAAAATTTCGGTAAAACAGACGGCTTCAGCATCCCTTTAAGAGCTTTCATTTTAACCCAAAACGAAGCTTTTCACAAAGTTTCATCGAAATCGGAGGTGGGCCGTTTTCGGAACTTTATCCAAAAGGTTTTTTTTAGCAATGTTTTAAAAATTATAAACATTAATTTGAGAAAAACGAAAGGGACAATAAAATTTTAAATGTAGTTTCTTTATATACATATTTTATAAAATAAATTTGTTTTTATTTAAAAAAAAAACCATTGATTATAATTTTAACATTTTATCAGTTTTTATCTTTTATTTATACATGTATTATATAATATATTAATGTAACATTTAATATATTTTATTTTATACATAAGAAATTACATTATATACAAGGTAATTAACTCAAGTGTTTAACACTCCTTATATTATCCCTTGAACCATTTAAAATATTGAGATACGGTTTTCATCGAGATAAACTAGAAAGGTTACTAATGTGCTGAATTGCAGTTTTTTATAGAATTTTTATTTGCAGGAATTCTGGCTGTCATTTTGATTCTTTAAATGGACCTATGTGTTTTTTTATGCAGCACATCAAAATTGGATGAAAGACAAATACAAAGATATAACAAGCGTTATATTTATTCAAATACAAAGATATAACGATATGACGCTTGTTATATTTTAATTGTATTTGAATAAATATAATTGACTACATTTGAATAAATAATTGTTGCAAAAACAGCGTTGGTAAGTTTTGGATATGTCACCACGTGCCTGCTGCCGCTCAGAGGGTCAAACGCGCCACAACCTCGCACAAATGGAAAGTTTACCCATGACTCAGATCGTCAAGGTAAATTGGTCCGTCAATGTGTCTACATGTTTGCAAGCTCAATTATTTCCTTTGTAAGCACACCGGAATAAAACGCTGTTAGACCAAGTAAACTGATGTTAATATTAAAAGATAAAATTGAAATTAATATCAAGATAAATAACATTGTTATTTTTAACTATCGCGTATATCAAAATTTATTCACAGTATTATTTTAATTTCATTAGTTTAGTTAAATTAACATTGTTTTAATTAAATTAATGACATATTGAGTAGAAACAGTGATGTATAGAAATGATTACAAATGACGCAAATTGAGTATAATTTGACACTACAAATTTAACAGTGTACGACCAAAATAAAAGAGTAAATATGATGAGCTGTACGTATGTACATACATATATCATAATTATAATTGTGCTTAATTAAATTTGTTAAAATGTTATAAAATGAGGAAATAGAATTCAAAGATTTAAACAGTTTGTTTCCATAATCAGATATGTTCTATATCTTTTTACTTCTTATTAACTTTTAAACTATTTAAATATCTTTTATCATCTTGGTGGATTTTTAAATATTTTATTTTTAAAACGTTTATTATATTTTCTCTTTTTGTTTGGCGCAATTTTTTTTATTTCAACACTTTTTAAAAAAATATTAACATTTTTAAAATTATGAAATGTTAAACAATATTATTCACCTATACTAAACATTCTTTTTACGCAAATCAACACTATTTATGTTGCAATGCATAATTATTTTATATTTTTAATTAGCATATAGTAATATACATATACGCAAGATAATTGGGTAACCATATCTTCAAAAGACAGAAAACTTAAAGTTGACGTCGTTTGCATAATTGTATAAGCTCCATCCGGTCCGGAAGAATACCTCGGCATTCGACATTCCTCGTTCAGCGTTGTTATCGATGACCTTCCTAAACACTCTCATTAAATGTTATCGGGGTGAGAGTCGGCCTCTCAAGGTTTATGGCGTCATTCGTTCATGCGCGCAGCACTGCCGATCACCAGCAAGCAAGGATCGCGATGAAGGGAGCAAACGACGCGCGGGCATCGACGTGACGCATCGCGACGCCAGGCGGGCAGAGACAGCAGCCTCTGTCGACGCCACGCCGACGCCGACGCGGACGTCGATGCCAACGCCGACGCCGAGGTTGAGCCGAGCGTCGACTACCCCCGTCCGTCAGTCGGAGCGCCGTCGCGGGGGATGCTCCATACGGTGGACGGAGTGATCGGAGGCTGGCGGCAGTGATCGCACGCAGCACGTTCCTTGGGAGTAGATCCACACCCATGTTTCACGGTGACGCGCTGCTACGGCGGAGTGTTGGGAGCGCATGATATCATGTGCGATATGTATCGTCGTACTTTCCATTCTGCCATCACCGCTTTCTCGTTAATTCTATCGCGTCCGGCACGAGGGTTCCTCGCGTGAATTTCCTCCTTTTTCCCCGATGTATAGATAAATCCTGAGTCCGCGAACGTGCGACGACGGGATTGTGATCTTCGCGTGAATAAATCGCGTGAAACGCGACGCAAGGATGTGGCGGGTGTCGTTCAGATGTCCACCAAAGTGGCGGTAAAGTACAATAATCACGTATGGTGGATGCATCTACAAAACCTGCAGGACTCGCATGCTAATTGCGTGACATATCCTTTTTCCTTTTTTTTCTTTTGGTATATACATGTATTTCTTTCTCAACTAATCTGAGCTTTATAAAATGAGACTTTTGAACTTTGCAAAACGGATATTTATTAAACGGTCGATAGATAGCTATGCGTTTGAAGTAAAAGTATTCGTTCTATATGAATTTTGTTCGCCCAAGTATAAAGATCATTCACGAAGTTCAATATTCAACAACAATTGCTCAACCGCGAGCGATTCTTCCAGCAGTATCCTACCAGTTGTTTGATTTATTCAGAGAACAGCTAGAGAACTGCATCGAATGTCCGAACGTTTGTTTTTTTTTCCAGAAAGTGTGACGTTGCATGAGATTTTCGCGCGTTCGTATCGTTACATCGCTTCACAAAATCGCCACATTCGCGCGCATTAGAACGCGTCGTGCGTCGTTGAGGGATGTTTTTCACGGGATACCGCGCGCGTGTCAAATAAACGCGTATATAGGCGTTTGACGAGGCTGGATTAATTTCGCACCAACATGTGGGCTCGCGTTATAGCTAAGCTCACACAGTCGAGCGATTGATTTTGCAATCTTTACATAAATTACGCAAAACGCGCGAGCACGTGGCTGTCACATAACTATCGCTACATTTCCTGCCTAAAACGTCGATATGGTTTCTTCGACGTTACCACGGTCGCGCAGCTTACTCATTATATATTGTTTTCGAAATAATCATAAATATCATGAAAAAAAAAAAAAATATATATATATATATATATATATATATACACTTTAGAAATAAAGAATGCTTTAATTTACAGGAAAAGAAAGTAAGTTTATTAAAAATGCTTTTCCGTCATGACAAAAAAAAACATATATATATACCATCATAGAAATGAAAGCCTCAATGTACAAAAAAGAAAGTAAGTTCAATAAAAATGCTTTTCTGGGATGTAAAATAAAATATCTCTGGTAGAGACTAATAAATTTTGCGGTATAAATCTGCATCGTACGAAATTTCATTGAATACCGAAATACTGACATGAATCATCTCCAAGCGGACAATTCGCGCATCGATAGGAAGCTCACTTGTATGTGTTCATGATGCAATATCGCGGTGTCCCGCGTGACGTAATCTCGACGTACTCTTCAAGCGTTTACAATGAGAAAGGAGAAAGAATTGATAGATTCATATTGTTGTCGTGATTCACTCGTGATACCTGCAGGATCGTAGGAGAAATCCCGCATTTCGGTGAGAAGCGAGCGGAAGGATGGTAGACGACGCTGAAATGACGCAATTTGCTTCCTAACGCCAGATAATCGTCCAGTTCGAAGGTGGACCCGGTGGCGTCATGAATCGAGAAAACGAGGAAGTACGTGTTGGCAACCGCGAGAGCGTCCGTTCACCCTCCGCGCTTCTGTCGTTTCTTTTCTTCTTTCTTCTTGTTTTTTTATGATCGATCCAGATTCGTCGTACGAAATTTATTGCAATCATGGAATATCTGAATGTAGAAATAATTAAGAATACTTTCAACAAATATTTTTGCATTTAATTAAATTTAAAAGACAGTTTGTATCGTGAAATCCACTCTTATAATTATATTTAAAAAAACATTGTTGTTCACGTTTTTTTAAATTTAATTTTAAAAAAACTATAGCTTTAATGTAATAATTTATGATTCTGTGACAAAAAATAAAAAATCATAATTAATAATTACAGAAATTAATGTTTGGTGTGACGTAATAGATGTCAGAGGTCTATTTAAAAATTCAAAACTTGAAATTATCAGTTTTACTTAAGAAATTATTATCTCAGAAATAGGTATATATCTTGGCCATGATATACGTTTATCTAGATAAAAAAGATCTACTTTTATTAATAAATAACGGAAAAGTGCATAAGAGGTCAATAGCGTTAATTTAATACGCCACAAAAACCATCCAAGACAAATTTGTTACTTTTATTAGATGTAACATTATTTCCGCCAAATATTAATTTTCGATAAGCGCGCTCTCACGTTTTCCGCTCTGCGCTCGCAAATAACTGACGACCTTGCGCATTAATCTTTCACTCTCAGCAGCGACCGGTCCCTCAGACGCTGTGCGGCGCGCTGCAAAAGGAACCGAACTGCAAATGCTTGGTGCTGACGGTTCTTATATACGGCTGTCTCGCGGCAGTAACATGGTGCAGATGCGCTAACGTTACCAAGGTACGACCAATTATGTGTCGCACAACCGATTTCATCCCGTTAGAGATAGACAGACTGAAACATCGAATTGTTTTAAATCACGACAATTTTATTAGATTTTGAATAGCCTCGATTATTATCCAAAAATTTTTAAACTTTGAAAATTTTGAAATATTCCTACATTATTAAGAGGTCTCAAAAGTCTTTTAAATATATTAAAAATATATCTCCTCTTTCATATTATTGTTTAAACTTGTTTTCTGTTTTATTACAGACAAAAATAATTATTTTATTTTTACGAGTTTTGAAACGTTTCAAACGTTTTAATGTTTCTTAAAAAATGTTAAATGTGTGATTTTTTAGACACGCTTGAAACTTTTAAAATTTGTCAAAGTTTTGCTTAAATTTTCAGCTTCAAATAATTTTCAAAGATAATTTAAATAGTAATTTAAATATTTATACGATTGAATTGTTTAAATTGTTCATCTTTATATGCTATACGCGTAATAATCTTAATACGTTTTTAAAATCATACCTACAATTAAAAAATATAAAGGTGTCACAAAAATGATATAAATTGTTTCGAATATTATTTGGAACTAAACAATTCTGAAAGATATTAAACATCTTTAAAAATTTCTGTACTAAGTTTTGAATTTTTTTTTAACACTTTGAAAACATATTGTAACATTTTACATTATTATTTAAATCCATCTCCTCTATTTTATACATCTAGACATGATCTTACAATTAGTTTTAAAAAAATGTTTGATATTCAAACGTTTATAAAGAAAAATTTTCTAGACACACAAGACGTTTAAGTATCTTACAATGTATAAAACTTTTAAGATTTTTCAAGACTTTAGAAAATTTTCGGTCTGAAACAATATTCAAAGCAATTTGAATCTTTATATGATTAAATTGTTAGAAAACTGTCGAAAGAAGGCTTTAACATCCATAATTACATGCCGCGCCGCACATGTGGCGAAACTTCTTTTGTAATCCTACAAGCGAAAATTGTTTCTCTTATTTCTCAGATTATGGTCAACTACACCAAGTTCCCCATCAGAAGTACGAGGCACGTATCATCGCCCTGTGACGACGGCTATATATATATTCCGGTATGTATACAGAGGGGAGATATGGGGAAAAGAAGGAAAAAATAAAAGGAAACGACTCTCCTGCCTCTTCTTTTTGTTACGAATCAACCCTCTATTTTGTTCCTTTTTAAAAAAAAAATTACCCGACGAAGAGTAATATAATCGACTCCCCTCGCTCGGATCTTTTCACCGCTCTGCACGCACGCTTGGATGCACGTCGCGTTTTTCCCTCGGCTTTTCTATCACCATCATCTCGGCCTCTTTCCCTCTCTTTGTCGTACAGGTGGCATTTATGGGGATGCTGTATCTGGTTTATCTGGTGGAGTGCTACCATTCGCCAATCAGGATCGATCTATTACACGCGGAGAGCCAGGATAGTGTGCTGTCCAAATTGGCACAGCTAAAGATGGCACAGCCGCGGATATGGTGGAAGGCAGTTTCCTATCACTACGTGCGCAGGAAACGGCAGATTACGCGTTACAGGAACGGGGATAATTATACTACCACGCAGGTGACGCGCCGCATTGCCTCTTATCGGACATGCTTTCCTTTTTAACCCTTTCATGCTTTTAGGTGCAGCCCTTTTGAAATATTCGTAAAAATTGTTTAAAAAATTAAAAAATGTGTTAGGCTGGGAGAAAGTAATCCGAATTTTTACGTAAAAAATATCTATTAAGAAAAAAATGGTTAATTTTTTTTCTTTTTATTAAACTAATTGCCGTTTGAATCTGTTACTTTCTGCCACCTTTCAGGCAGAAGTTAGATTCCGCGTCGATAAAAGGCCGACTCCTTGATCACGAAGAATTCTTTGATTTATTTCTTGACTTCGGCCTGCATCGATCGAAATAGGTAATAATTTGAAAGCACAGCATCTGATGAATAAGCAGGGTGCGGAAGAATTTTCCAGTACAAGTCTGTTTTAAGGTGGTCACGGTAGTTGCAGCTGTCTGAAATTGGGCGTTATCGCGCAGAAGACAAATCTAAGTTGGTATATATAACGGTCGTTTTCCGAGCAATGTCGCGTCCAAACACTATAAGTTAATTGTTGATATAGATCTCAGTGGTGACTGTTTGACGTGGCGGCAAGAGCTTATAGTAAATAACACTTTAACTGACATTTTGTCAAATCAAAATAAACATACATATATGATAGACAGGAAGGCTTGTCTTGCAGTAATTTAAATGTAGGATAGGCAATCTATTGGAAAAAAAGGTTATTAACAAGAATTATTACAATATGCTGTATCGCCATTTATCCGTGACCCGGATTACTTCTTCCCTAATAACCTAATTAAAGGTTCAGTACAAATTTTGACATATCGATATCTTTCCACATCCGCGTTGATAAAAGTACAGTCTTATTGATCCGAATTATATGTAGATGCTAGATTTCTACTTTAAGGTGATTGGGCCATCAGAGCATGTTAAAGAAAAAAATCCGGATTAAATATATGTTATAAAAAAAACCTAAATACGCTTAAATTTGCAATTTTGAGAAGATCTGACGTCTAGTTGTTAAGATATTAAATCTCAAAGTTGGCAATTTTAACATAGGTTTTATGCGAAATTGTACCGAAAACATACATTTTTCGAGAATTTCACTCACTGTCTGTAAAGAAACAAGTTCAAAAAACTGAAAATAACATTATTTGATTCTTCTAGCACTTGTTAAGTATAAGACAAAACGACGTTGACGTGTAATAAGGCCAAAAATTCAATCAAAAGTTGATGAATCGTCGCGTTTCTTGTCGGCCTTTCGATCAGCTGTACGCGACGTGAACATGTGGCAACGTCGCGCCGTGTAGTGTTTTCTTTCCACAGCACTATTCTTTGGCAAGCAAATCTCCGTTATCGAAATTGTTTGTTACCTTCCATTATTTTTTAACATAAACACAATACATAACCTCACTCAAACACATGGCACTGGCATGATAGCTGCCTACATCGAAGAGATGCAATGTCGCGACATTTCTCTTGTACGAATGTCAACTGAAGTCAAATCTTGAACTTTTTACATTTATCAGTAGATAAATTGATACGTAATCGAATGAAAAGTTACATTATAAAACCAGTAATTATACAAGTGTCTAGAATATATCCATAAAAATGGTTTTTCTTAAAATAAAATTTAGCCCTTATATTGACTCATATGGTACATGGCCCAATCACCTTAAAACAGTAATTCGAGATACTATAAAGTTTCAAAAGACCTCGGATAGTCTGATAAAAATCGTAAATGCAAATATTTCGTTGCCTATGCATCGCGAATACATAGCAATTGATGTTGCGATAGCAGAAGGGTTAAGGACGCGCTTGATAAATCTCTTTTCACCCCCTCGCTCCACAGGTCTATTACGAGAGGGTGAACACACACTCGGCCACTTCCCACTACTATTACGACTATTGCGGAGTGAAGGACATCAGTAAGGAATTGATACTCGAAGCCAAGATACCGATCACGAAGATCACGCTTACCAAGGGCTTTGCGTTTTCGAACATAAGGTCCGCCACGGAATTCGAGGAGGCACGGTCACGATTTTTCGCTGAACAAGTATGGAAATATGTGTGTGCATGTGTATGTGTGCTGTTGGCTGTTGTTAACCGTCGTTATCATTGTTTCGTATTACACAAACTCGGGCTTGAATCTCTCATGGACGAGCAAAATTTAAATAAGGGAGCGGGGGAGAGAGAAAGACGTTTTAGACTGCGTTTCGAAAACTTCACTCGGGTGCACACCAGGAACGATGCCAACTTGGAAAAAATATTAGAAGAGCGAAATGCAAGAAATTCTTATTTCAAATAATAACCTTTTTAGTAATCTTTACATTATCTGGGGGGGGGGGTGAAATATACAAAACTATGTAGATTATATCCTTACATATAAAACAAAGTATAGATACAAACACAGAATATTTAATGTACATACACAATTGGATTGAAAACTTACACTTATAATCGTAAAAAGTTTGTATAACGAATTTTATTTCGACTAATAAACTTGTTAACAATAGCATTTAAATCTAACTGTATCGCCTCTTCCACATGTACGTACATGTAAAATGCTTAAGGACTTCAACGAATTTTGTGTCGCAGTATTTATAACAATACAAAATTACTTTTTTCAAAAAAGGTAAAAAAAATTGCGTGTACTTGGCGCCTTTTTTTACCTTTTTTGAAAAAAGTAATTTTGTACTGATATATCACGCATTTTGTAGTGTTAAGCAGGGATCGGCAAAAAATATATTAAAAATATAAACTGGTTTGTCCACAACTTCCAAAAACTTTGCTATTATAAATTTTATTCTAATATATATTGAGATTAAATATTAATAATCCTTTTAGAGTCTAATCTTTTTTGTGTGAGAAGAACATATTTAATTTAATTATTTTTTAAAATGTTAGAGATTGCTAAATACGAATATAAAATTTACCAAAATTTATTTTGTTGTTATTGCTTTCGTGAATAATAAATAATTCCAGACACTAAGATCTAAGATATAAAATCAACGTCTATCTCATAATATAATGGACTCGATTCAATTAACGATCCCTGTAACTATACGTGTAGGGCATATACTGGGGCAAGTTAAAACATGAGGCAGGTTGAGACACCTCTATTGATATCCCGAAAAGGATGATCGCCAGCGGGTCGACATTATAATGCCGTTCAATAGGTGTCATTGTCCACAAAATTTTTCATATTGACACTGACATTTGTGGCCGGGCATGACATGACGGCGCGAAGAATCTTTCAATTTTGAGAACCATCAAAAAAGGTGACTAAAATTTATGTTTTGAATGTCACGTCTTTAGTATTGATCATAATCCTTATCATTTCGATGAAAGGGTGAAAACTTATATTCGGAAAACAGGATATTTCTGCATAGTTTAGGCCTTGGAGATCCATACTTGAGTGACAGGTTGTGGCGGTATTGAATAATCTTATAAAGCTTAATCCTCGGTTGTCACACCACTTTTTTAAACATTTTTTAAAGAATTTTTTTAATATGATGCCACTCAAAAAGTTAATTTTTTATAATGAGAATACATTCTACAATGTTTAAACTTAATTCTAGAATTTGTTACGATTCATTTAAACTGTTAGTTTTTGAACTAACATGAAGCTATTGTTCCTGCTGTAGCAAACGAACTACATCATCAAAACTCTTGTCATTTCAAAATTATTGTGGGGGCGCCGTCCCCACAATCAAATTATTAAGGGGGGGGGGGAGTGTTCTGCCCCCACAAAGTTGGCTCCTATATATACACCAGAAGCGTTCTGTCCTTGTTCAATTTTTAGTAAGTAACAAAGATAGAAACGATGTGGTGTGCACCTGAGTAAAGTTTTCGAACGCAGCCATAATCATTTTATGCAGGAATGTGGGTAACTAAAAACTACATTTGCCCAGGAACTCAGTGACGACTATATGGAGATGAGAGAGGGTCTTGATCTCGGATACAATGTCAACACGATGCTGGTTGCCGTTCTTGGTAACCCGTGGTTCACGAATCGCTACATTTACTGGTGTCTGAGCGCTCTGCTGCTTAGCTGGCCGTTACGAGTAATCATTGAGTACAAAACGCAGTACGCTGATTATCAGGTAAAAACAATCTGGAAGAGTCAAGGACTTTTATTTCAATCGTTTCGCTTGAGATTTTATTATTATTATAATAAATTAATCGTTATATATAAGTTCGTTTACTTATACTATTTCAAAAAATTTTTTTTATTCATAATCACGTCTTCATCCTTTATTTATTATAAAATTATTATTTAATCATTGATATTTTACTTATTGATATCTTGTAATGTCACCCCTGATTGCATACATGGGCACGTGCGCGAAAGAGATAGAATACATTACGCTCGACACACACGAAGAAAGAAAGAGAAAGGTTGGATTAAGACATATAAAGTAACATAGAATATCTATATATAGAGTTTCAGAAAGTATAAGACAAATTTTAGAAAATGGTAGGTCTCACCAAAAATATCATTTTTTATTAACAAACTTATGTCTCTCTTTCGACGCATCTTTGAGAAGTTATGCGTCCTTGTTAGATTATCTGAATGGTATACATCATTCCAGTAGACATTAGGGAGGAGTTAATTGATAGGATCATGGGAGCTTTTGATCAAATCAGGAACAATAATATTGCAATGTTCCAAGCAGTAAGAAATTTAATGCTACATAGATACGATAAATGTAATCATGATGCAAGGCAGACACTTTGATCCATCTTTTGCAATAAAATACGTAAATAAGATTTAAAAAAAATACAAAATTAAAGAACGTGTGGACTAGTAATGTTAGACATCACGCGCAATGTTATCATGAGTTGCCTATTTCACAGGCGATCCGAACAAGAACGCGTCGGAGGACACAGATTCCCTATAACATAAATCGATTCTTTTTATGAGATCTACCATTCTTTAAAAAAACCCCACACTAATTATATAGAAAATGGGATCTCGGTAAAATCGGCTAATTTTTGCTTCCTCATAGAGGAAGCTTTGTTTTCGTGAATTTCGTATATGAACCTTCGATTGCGTATAAAGTTGGGTCTAATCAACTAAATTTAAAAGAATTATATATGAAATAGGGGTAGAAGAAACCAACGAAGAGATTGGTTTTTGAATTTGCTGATTTTATTCACTGGCGGACGAAATTATTACCGATATTGGTTTTTGAGTTTTTTCTGCTAATATGTTCAGATTGTTGTAAAACGTCAAAATATCGCCTTAAAAAAAATGTCCGTATGTGTGCATGTGTGTGCAGATTTGATGTTGTGGTTGCTCTAACTTCCGCAAATATTGAGATATCGGGTTGTTTTTTTTTTAATCGATAGAGTATCATTCAAGGAAGGTTGGTATTGAATTTGGCGATAATCGGTAAAAGGGTTCTTTTTAAAAAAATTTTTGAATTTTTTAAGAAATGCCCGTGGTTGCTTTAACTTTTGTAAATTTTGAAATATCAATCTATTTCTAATTTTATTATATTCTTCAGTCTTTTCTACCCCT